CACTGTCTGCCTGCTCTTCCAAAGGTTATGAGTTCAATTCCCACCCACCAGGTGGTTGCTTACAACCATCTATAATGTGAACTGATTCCCTCTTCTGGCAGTTGTAAATGTAGATAAAACACTCATACACACAAAAATTGGTAGTTCTTTAAAAAAGAAAGAAAGATACCAGGACCTTTTGAAAACTTTCTGACTCCAGCTACTGCTCCCCACAGTATTGATTTCAAGATGAACCAATAGCTGACAGCCTGTGGTTTCAAACATACTGCTCTAGAAAAGAAAGAGAAATAGGAAGAAAGACACCACTCCGGAGTGCACATTGCAAGAAACATACGAGCAGCATTATTAAAAAAAAAAAAAAAAAAATCAACAACACATGTCCTTACTAATGTTGGTGAGTGCTTTATGTGTTGGTGTATGTTTTTCCGTCATTTAAATTAAAAACCTAAGACTGTTATAGACCGTATGCCAATTTTACTTCCACAACATTCCAATGCATTTAAAAATTATTTTTATTAAATTTATCTTAACTTCAGACTCGATGATAATTGTCTATGGCCGCAATGGTCAAATGTCATGACATCATTAATAATTATTTTCCAAATTTTAACCAGCATTTTCATTCAATGGAATTTGATTTAAACCAAATTAATCAATGTGAGCGTTTAATGATGGGGTTTCTCCCCTATGCCTGCTAATATACAATATACAAAGGCTGGAAACATTACATTAAAAAAAATAATTGGCATTTGGGAAAGAAACGTGGGCACATTAAAAAAAAATGCAGCTCCTCAGATGTCGTGTGAAAGAGCCTGAAACCCCTGTGAAAGCTGGACGGTGTAATGCCACCCTGGCCACTACACAAGACACTCGGAGACACGCTCCTGCGCCCACTCGGAATGCGCACACCGAGCGCGCGTACCCTCCCGCCCCCATGTCATCTGCAAACCAGACAGATTCAGGACGCTGGCAGATGGCAACCGGCCCTAACCTCTCCTCGCTCTCTTCCCAAATCAAAACCCACCGTAAACACCACGAAGAGCCAGGAAACCTCACGGCTTTAATCATTTCCTTTCCCGGAGCTCCATGTGGCACACAGGACACTCGCTGCTTTCCTTTGGGCTTGTCGGCATCTTGCGAGGGGTGTGTGAGAAGAAAAAAGAGAAAAGCAAACCGGTGTCTGCAGAGGCGGAGAGAAAGCGCTGGCCACAGCCTTGAGGGTCCACCCGCCCCCTCTTCGTCTCTGAGCCAGCCCTGGAGACTCCGCTACCGAACGACTTGAGAGGTGGCGCCATCTGGCTTTTAAAGAAGAAAATGAGGAGGGAGGTGGAGGAGGCAGCATAGGGCAGGAGCCCTCCTTCCCAGTACCAGCACCAGCAGGTTAAGAAGAATCAGCTGGGGTGCTCTCTGCCCCCTCAAAGCCTTGGGCAAGATAGCCCTCAACCCAACAACCCGGAGACACTCACCCTTCTGGAGAGCTACCTTCCTACCAAGTACACAGTGATGATAGAAGGACAAGTTCTGCTTTCCAGGCAGGTCCAAAATGCAGATATAACTGTGGTTTTAAAGCATTATAGGTGCCACTAACTTTGGACTTCTACACCATTCGGTGGAGCCAAGGGGAGGCAGGAGAAAGAGCATCCCAGGATTATGATCTCCAAGGTACTTTCCCTCAGTTGCCCCCGTGGAAAGAAATCAGGCTAGAGAAGTCCCCACTCTCCTGGACCCACACTTTAACCCAGTGTCTTGATAATTAGGGAATAATGCCTTTCCTAATTGTTCCGAAAGACTACTAATGAGGGCGTTGAACGAAAAGCTAGATCACCCGCCTTCAAAGATACTTTTAGAGCAAGAAGGTTTAGTATGTCTTAGAGAAATGGCAACTGATCTTAATCAGCCTTCTAACTTAGCAGTTTGTGCTTGAGCAGATGGGTGTAACAGTCTTACAGAATGATGGCTAATGATGGCAGAGACCCTTTTATCTAGGATGTGGAATAGGTATCAGAAAGTCATTATTGTATAAAGCTCAGCTGGAAGAGTGTTTGCCTTGCATGCCTTGGGCCCTGGGGTCAACCCTTACCACCGAGAAAAGGGGAAGAAGTAATTATTATGGCTCTTTTTAGCCTACCTCTTAAATGGTAGAATTCAGAGATAATTGTTGGACTTTTTTTTTTTTTTCATTCCATTGTACCATGTAGAAATACAAGCACACACACACACACACATACACAGAAGGGAGGGTCTAAGTGCAGGTGTATTGACATTTACACACATGGTAAATACAAGTCTGCAGTCGTCATAATGTCTTGCATACATTGCTTATCAGTTAACAAAGACTTCTTCATTCAGTTTTCATTTATTCCTCACAATGTGAGGGGCTGTTGTCAGTCACACACATTTTACACACAGGAAAACCAAGGCTCAGGAAAATCACATCCTTTAAATGTTGGTTGTGAGTAACAGAACAAAAGCTATTTAACTTTGAGCATCATCAAATCCATCAAGCATGTGATGAACACCTATTCTGTATCTGGCACTAAACCATGGTGGGAACAAAGAGGAAAGATATATTCTACAATTCTCAAGCAACTCTGCTTGAGAAATGACACAGCCCTGTGGCTTAGCACAGGATTTCAAGAAAAGGCAAGCTGAATCTTGAGACAGAATAAAGTCTGATAAAGGACGGAGGTATGAAAGGTAAGATGCAGACAGAGGCAAGAGAAGCCAGAGAAAGGCAAGATGTACACAGAGACAAAGAAACCAGGAAAAGCTGAATGATAGATACTGAGTTTTGTCCTCATCAAGTTCTTTTATGGTGAGTGTACACAGCCAGTCTGCCCTCTTGGTAACTGGACTTCTAACATCTGTCATTCAAGGATAACATCTGGCAAAGTCTCTTGGGGCTGGGTAACTCATTTTCATTCCATTTGTGTTCTCTGGTGGAGAGATTCCCTAAAACCTGGTCCTGCTTGGGGTTCTTTCGGTCTCTAAGGCATCCATGTCTCCTGCCTAAAGGAAAAGACAACTTCAGAGCAGGGAAGCTGCCTGGTCCTCTACACATCCCACTGGTTCTTCTGAAACAGTTGGGCTTTCAGCCAACGTGCATCAATCTTGCTTAGTCAAGGCCAACAAAGGCAAGATGGGCAGGAAGGACCACACTCTCACAGAAGATGGTATTCCCCAGTGCACACAAGGGAGCTTTATGACCTTATCCTTACAGTGAATCACCCTTGCTAGCTCCCGTGTTTGTCCCCAGTATTGTAATTTGGGAATTCACTGTGTGCTGAGAAAGATCAGTTGAATAATATTATGAATGCTGCTTTATTTAATTTCCCTCTTTATTTGGTTTGACCAGAAATTTTTACCTTTCTTATCTTGGACTTCAGTCTTTAAAAAATTAAATAGGTAAAAGATTTATGGCTGTACTTCTCACTAGAGAACCAATAACTTTGTCCTAATGTATTGAATTATACAGGAGAGCTATTATATTTAAAGACATTCTAGCTAGGCATGGTAGCATACACCTTTAATCTCAGTATTCAGGGATGCAGAGGTAAACAGCTGTCCATGAGTTCCAGGCCAGCCTGGTCTACACAGTCTCAAAACTGTCTCAAAATGAAACACACACACAAAGAAAAAAGAAGCACATTCCATTCAAAAGTACCAGCACTGTCCTTGAGCTCTTCTTTAGGTTCATGCTCCTGAATCAAAAAACCATTACATTCAGTCCCTATTATTTATAACCTGAAGTAGAAAGCCATGTAAGGCCTGCAGATTACTGGAGTGGCAGGTGGAGGTAGCCAGAGATGTGACCTGGGCTGACATAAGCTTACTGCTGAGACTAGTAGGCCCCATTTCTGTAATAAATTTCTGGAAAGAATGTGACACTGTGTTGGAAGCCAACCTAGGCTTCCCAGCTGGGTGACCCGAGGAAACCTCTTTGGGGCCCCATATCTTATCTGTAGGATGAAAGGGCTGAAGCACCTCTAAGACCCTTCCGAGTTTCACATTCTCCAGTCCTCACATAAGAATAAGCGCAACCGTCCACCAGGCATGAATATAAGGTTTCTCAAATGTTGACAAATAGAGTATCGGAGAAAAATGGGGAGAAAATGTAGGTTTATGGATCAAAGTGTTCACGTAGGTTAAACATTAATATTTATATTTAAACACATATATTTTATATGTGTGTTTACATACATGTACATGCACATCTGAAGAGACAGAAACCTGGAGGAAGTGGCTGCCCATGGGCTACAACAGGTTGGTGTTTGAAGTACAGGTTTTCTAACTGCTGGCGGGGAGTTTGCCCTGTGTGTATCTCAGATGCCACTGGAGAGCTGGAAGATTTGATAAGATTCGTGGCTAATCAGCTCCATGTGGACTGTGCTTCCTTCCCCACCACCATCAATATTGTGTTAGAAAAAGCTGCATGTTCTGGCGACAGCATGAATCTTCTCTTAAATGGGAGCCCTTAGAGCCCACCCCTGCCTTTAATACTAACCTTGCATGTAAATTCGCCGAAGGATAATATCCTGAGATCATTTTTCAGAGGTGTTGAAAAGGGGTCCTTTTAATAGAAAGGGGCTAAAGGAGAGGAAGCTATCTGACTTCTCCCACCAGGCTGCTGTGGGCTGGTGAGCCCAGCAAGCAGTCAGCCTGGGAAGGAGGGAGCTTCTAGCTCCACCCTAGCTATGAGCCCTGGGCAAATAACTTTGCCTTTCGGAGGCTTAGCTTCTGCAAGGAAAGTAAGACGCTGACATAGATCAGTTTAATGAATCTTATCGTTCTGGGATTTTCCTTGACCCAATTTCAGAAGCAATTTATCTTAACTTTTAGCCAACTATCTGCTTCTCTCTGCTGGATAATTTTAAAGGAAGGAAGAAGGAAGGAAGGAAGGAAGGAAGGAAGGAAGGAAGGAAGGAAGGAAGGA